GTACAAGAAGACCATTCAAAAGGTCATGAGTTACAAGGGAATGAATAGCCTTAACATCCACCATTATCACCTCTAATTACACACACTAATGATTTTGTAACTCCCATAGACATCCACCATAGGTTACATAATAAAAATAAAGATTTTTTGTTTTAATAAATGTTTTTTTTAATTAAATGATCATTATCTTAGCACTAATATTATCATTAATAACAAGATGCGAACGAAATTAATCAAATGCAGGCAGATATCATTTTCAAGTAAGATTGAATGGCTGGTAACATGCAGCGTAACAGCCGGTAATAATTCTCCACGCCCAATTTTGTTTATGATGGGGAAATCTGTAATTAAACAAAAAAAAATTAAATAAAATTAATATAAAATGACTGGAGTTGAATGTACATAAAATTAAAGATCCATTTAATTTTGGTCCACTTTGTTTTTTTTAATCATGCTTTCTTACGGCCCAAATTGATGGGCATTTGATCAATAAATCTATGGGCCTTACCATGATCAGGTTGGAACAATAAAACAATATCTAATATACACTTAAATCTCTATATATTAATATAGTCGAGACTAACAAAATTCTAGTAATTTAGTGAAATATTAAATTATCGAATTAATAGTGGGATTTTAGCGAGTTAGGACCAGAATAAATTATTATTTCGTTGAGATTATTAATTTATCGAGGTTCTATTGTAGTTTTTTTTTTTTTAATTTAAACCTTATAAAATATATATGTTAATTATCAACCGAGAAACTAAAAAGTATTATATCTTTGTGATCATAAATTATTAAAGACCACTAAAATAATAATCAATAATGCTCAAAGTATTTTTCTTACTTTTTGCAAAGTGGAGATAGTCAAAGAGGAGGGTACCTATGTATATATACATATTGGGCCCACCTATTTTGTAGTATGTTAAGATAAGGCAGATTGTGAGATAGCCCATTCATTTGGGATCAATCATAATATTTATCATTAAACATTGCACGAGTAAAAAGACATTTATCTCCCTAATTTGTCTTGCCATTTTCTTTTCTCCAATTAATTTTCTTGCCTAAAAATAATTTAATTTAAATAAACAAAAAATAGATAAAGATACTATTATTAAGAAATATGGTGAAGGGGGAACCGGAAAGGAATTTCTGGCTTTCTGCGGCTTAAATCACGTGGCTCCGTTGACAAACTGGGGAATCCTTATTGACGAATCGTTTATCGACACGTGGTTTGACAGCGGATCTATAGTAGATCTAACCGCTGAAGTTAACCGAAATAAAATCCTCCAATTTACGGCGCTTAAGAAAAAAACTGAAAAAGGAGAAAAAGAGCGCCAGTTAGGCTGTCAGCTCGGTGACGTGAGCCGTCACAATATTTCTTTGATTTGACAATTATTTATCTCTGCTTCTTTTTTTTTTTAATTAAAAAATAAAACAAAAAAAAATTATGGGTGACCGGCTGTAGCGGGTGAATGCTAGGCCTTACGGTCAACAAGGGTTTTGTGTTTTAACCAAAAATATAAGCATAAAATCGATAACTTAATATTTTCAATTAAATAATCATTTCTCTCGATCCCCGGCTAGATGACAACGAATTTTATCGTTAATTTAATAATTTAATGTTTCATTAATACTAAAATTTTAATTTATGGAGATTTAACTTCTAATTTGAATTTTATTTTTCTAATTAAATTCCTCCTTAAAATTGGCCGGTTCTCCAGTAATTAAACCCTCACCGTTAGTTTCCATTTTGACCAAGGAACCAAAAACCCCGGCCGTTGGATGATTGAACGACAGGTTGGCAGAATGGAAAAGCATGCTGAATAATTCACAGCCGATCACAGGTAAGCGCGTTTCACCTCGTTTTAAAAAGCGTGCTTCTGCACTTTTCGGTGTTTGTTCATTGTCGAATAAAAAAGAAAAAAAACTCATTTTTTTTTCAATGTGAATGTCTCTCTACTGAATTTGTTATGATTTAGGTTTAGTGAACATCCACTTGCATCTTAATTCTATTTAATTTAATTAACTAATCTTGTTCGACTAATACAAGTTATGTACATATTAAGCACCGCGCATTACAAAAATATAATATATATGCACCAGATTCGATTGTGCGGCGCATATATTTCACGTAACAAAATTTTAGAAAGAAAACGAAAAAAAATCGAATTTAAATAAAATAATTAATATATAATTAAAATGAGGTATTAGGCAGTAGGTGATATGGTACTAATTTAGAGGTTAAGGATTAGAATGCTGTTTGGGGAAGACAACAAATGTGTGGTGTCTGTATAGAGCAAAGTTAGGCAATAGATAAGTGGTTCATATTTTCCATGTTTTATTTTATTTTATTTTAATCTTTTTTTTCTTTTTAATTAATAACAAAACATAAATTTAAAGTTATGTACCATTTGCATTTACCATTCTGCCAAAAACATTCATGAGGGTAAGAGAGATGGATAATATTAATAAACTTGAATCAATTCAGAGCAACCACTCTCTGGTAGAATAAATTAAATACAATCAATTTAATGGTAACGTGTGAATAAAATTATTTGGTGAAAATTTATACCGGGAAAATGAAAACCAACCACTCCTGTAACAAATAAAAATTCAATATAAATTAGGAATTTTACAATACAAGTATATATATATATTAATAAAGTAATAAAATGCATTACGGAGTATAAACTAACTAGATCCAATAATATACATTAATAAAATAATAAAATAAGCATTAGAGAAAACGAAAAGGGTAAATTATAAAACCCTCATTTGACTTAGGCTAACTTACAAAAAATACCCCCCACCTATCTGTAATTACTAAAATCACCCCGATGTTTGTTTTTGTTTTACACCGACCCCCTTAAGGTGTGATTTTTAACGATTTTTTTTTTATCCGTTGGAATATTCTCCCAAACAATGTCGATTCTACCTTGCAGATGTCGCATTTCGTTATATTATTTTTAAAGACAAAAAATACCCTATTGGGGGCATTTACATTGGAATCTTTATTGTTCTTATGGTGATATTTTGTTTTCAAAAGGTAACATAAAGAAATGTCACATTTGCATGGGTAGAATTTTACATTTTTCGGAGAATATTCCATAGAATCATGGAGATTCCATGATAAATCACACATTTAGGGGTCGGTGTAAGACAAAAACAAACGTTGAGGGATTTTGATAATAACTTATAGGTGGGGGGTTGTTCGTAATTTGACCTAAATTTAGGGTTTTTTCACAATTTACCCAAAAGAAAACGATAAAAGAGCCAAGTGTTTTACATGTTAAGCATGCGTTAGTTTGTCACTTACCAATGCTTTAAGAAGAATCAAAACAAAAGGCATGTCCTATTATATATTTTTATTTAATTTATTTTATTAATGTTTTCTCCTTTTAATAAAGTTGTGGTTCCAAGTTTTGTCCTGAATCTGGTCATATTAAAATACAATTAATAGTTGACACATAAAAGAGTAGGACCAAACATACTTTTACATTGGAAATTCCTTTGATCATGATAAGAAACTTCATTAATATTAGATTGGGAGCATAGTTATAAATTTCAATATTTGTAATTGTCACTACTTATTTGAAATACATAGTAAATATTTTAAATTATTATCAGTGGCAGAGCCAGTATTGGGGGCATTGCCCCGCCTTAGATTAAACAGTCTATTTTTATATATTTTTTTATGTATTCGATCCATTCGAACTTAAACCAATGCATCATATCTTTAATGTTGAATATGTAGTAGTTATTCGAGTTGTTTAAATTGACTTAATTACGTATATTTTTATTTACCTCGTGCACATACGCCAATCGAGTATTTTGTTACGTTTACGTGATTCTTGACTCTAATTGAAACAATTAATTAGAATAACATAAGAATTAAGATGTCAGCATAATAACAACAATTTCATTCACATCATATTATTTTTGGGAAAGTAACTAACAATCAAATCCAACAAACTATGAATATTCCTATTTTAAAACTTCAAAAATAAATATAAAAAAACCTCATTAAGTAGTATGTGTCTTTGATAGTTAATACGCCACTTTGATATCCAAAGGCCAGACGTGTAAATCTTATTGGCCAGCGCTTTACCAATGAAACCTAAACCTAATTCTAATTCTAAAAGCTAAAAAGTCAAAAAAGACAGACACGTGGCGGTTTGCATGCAGAAATCAACCGGGTACCGGTAGTTGGGGGTAAAGTAACAGTGATTAGCTTGAATACCTGACACCGTGAATCCACGTGTAAGAATGACGCAGGTTTCTCGATTGCCAGGTGTTCATAAAATAATTATTTTTTATACCCATATTGCCCTTTTCTCTTTTTTTTTGTTTTTTTTTTTTCCTTTTTCTAATTGATTAGAAAAACCGAAATTACTAAAACCCATAAATTTGAAATCGTGCAAGTAACTCTCGAATCGCACGAAAAATATAAACCTCACTAGAATAATAGTACAAATTTTAATATTTATTTCTGAATTCTGATATAAAAGTATAAGTGAATACAACCGTGCATAGTATTTTATTGTTATAATTTAACTGTATAATTTCTAGTACAAATTTTAATTATTTCTGAATTCTGATATAAAAGCATGAATGAATACGACCGTGCATAGTATTTTATTGCTATAATTTAACTGAAGGTTTCATAATTAAAAATTAAAATTCTAATTTTATTACTTATATTTGCTGTATCTAACCTGTGTTGAATGGAGTACCACTTTCGAATTTCGATACTTTATATAAATTAATATTTACGATGTAGGTTTTGAATACAAATTATTTTTAATAAATCCAGTGAAGCACGAGTTCAAGTTTCATTATTTTTTTTTAAAACAATATTTTATAGTTCACCATATAAGATATTTTAGTAATTAGCTTCATTAGCTATTAATCATAAGTGAGAATGCATTAAGCCCGACTTAATTTCGGTTTATTTCTACACCATTTATTACTATTATAATAAGTAATAATGAGTAATGACTAATCACAACAGAGAATCAATCCAATAAATTTAAATTGAAAAAGAACACTTTCCCCACACGGCCTCCTCCTCTTTTCTCTCTCTAAAAACACTTCTCTCTCTAGAAACACACACTCTTTCCCCCATTTCTCCTAAATGCGGAATTTCTCTGAAACGCCACCGTTTCTCAATTTGCGGTGAAGAAAAAAAAATGTCTTCCGGCTACTCCGGCGGCGTCCCTGATTTCTTCTCCGCCGGGAGAAGATCCACTGCTATGTCCACAAACATGAACAACAATTACAATTCCAGTCTCAACGCACAGCAGCAATTTGCTTTCCGTTCACCCGTCTCCGGAATTCCGCCCGATCCGGCCGCCCAGATCCACCGACCTAATTTCATCGGAAAGAGGTCCCTGGCGGAGTTTCAGCAGCAGCAGAGCTTTTTGCAGCAGCAGCAGAACCGACAAGGTTTAGGATTCTACCTCCGGAACGTGAAGCCACGCCCTAAGTACCACCAGCATGCATCTCCGATATCTCCGCTCTCTCCAGTGGATTTTCCTCCGGTTCCGTCAATTTCGCCGGAATTTTCCTCATCCTCGTCAGTTTCAACTTCCGGAAATTCGAGGTACGGCCTACCGATTCTTCAGCATCACCGGCTACAACCGATGACTCTTTCGCACAGATCAAATATCCGGAATATGTCTCAACACACAGGGTTTGCAAATACGGGCATGAATATTTCGGGTCCGGGTCTGGGTCCGGGTACAGAGGGTTCAGCGCATGAGTCGGAGAAGATTATGATGAGTCATCGGCTTCAAGAGCTGGAAAAGCAGCTGCTAGGAGATGAAGACGACGCCGAAACTGTTTCTGTTGTTACCGACAGCGAGTGGTCGGAGACAATTCAGAATCTGATAAATCCGATTATTCAGAAGCCAGTCTCTCCTTCTCCGACTTCGTCTTCTTCCTCGTGTTGTTCTTCCACCTCAGCCTCCCCTCCGCTGCCGTGCCCAAAGCAAGCACTTATCGACACCGCGGCGGCGATCTCTGAAGCCAAGCCGGAAGCGGCGGTAGAAATCCTCACGCGCCTCCAGCAGTCGGGGAACGCGAGGGGAACCCCCGAACAGAGGCTCACGTCTTACATGGTATCGGCTTTAAAGTCGCGCGTGGGTCCGGCGGAGAATCAACAACCGATTTCGCCGGAGATTATTTACGGCAAGGAACACACGGCGTCGACGCAGATGTTGTATGACGTGTCGCCGTGTTTCAAGCTCGGTTTCATGGCAGCAAATCTAGCCATCCTTGAGGCCACCTGGGAGCAGGGTTTCGACAAAATCCACGTCTTGGATTTTGACATCGGCCAGGGGGGTCAGTACGTG